AAGAATGACAACCATTTTCAAATCCTATGATCTATGGGATATGGTTCAACATGGGTATGAACTACCTGAGATGGAGATCGATGCCCTAGAGGAGGATCTCACAGAAACACAACTCAAAACACTGAAGCAGAATCGGATGGAGGATGCTAGAGCACTTGGAATCATTCAAGGTGCTGTCTCAGACACCATTTTTCCGAGGATAGCAAATGAAGAGACTGCAAAGGGAGCTTGGGAAGTTTTACAGCAAGAATACAGAGGAGACACCAAAGTTAGAAAGGTAAAACTTCAGTCCCTTAGAAGAGATTTTGAGTATACAAGAATGAGGGAAAATGAGCTGTTAAAAGACTACTTCACTAGGCTGTTTGATGTTGTAAACAAGATGAAAACATATGGTGAGGAACTGCCTAATGAAAGAATTGTCCAAAAACTGTTGATTAGTTTGACTAAACCCTATGATTCAATAGTGAGTGTCATAGAAGAAACCAAAGACACTGAAACTCTCAGTGTACAAGAGGTGATGGCATCCTTAAGAGCTTTTGATCAAAGGCTCGAGAGGCATGCTGACTCTGCACCTGAGAAAGCCTTTCAAACACTCAATGTTGGATCTAGTAGTCAAGCCAGTGCAAGTAATCAGAAACCACAGTGGAAGGGCAAAAGCAAGAAATGGGAAGGAAAAGGGTATCACAACTCAAGACCTAACCAAGGCAGCAACACCAATGTAGGTCCAAGAACCAAGCAACAATGTAAGCACTGTGATAAATTCCACCTTGGAGAGTGTTGGTTCAAGGACAAGCCTAGATGCCACAAATGCAATAGGTTTGGGCACATTATGAAGGACTGCAGATCAAAGAATGTGCAACAAGTAAACTGTGCAAATCAAGTGGAAGAAGAAGCAAATGTGTTCTGTGCTTTCAATGCAAAAATGGAGAGAAACAATGAAGTGTGGTACATTGACAGTGGCTGCAGCAACCACATGACTGCACATGAGTCTTTACTTATTGACATCGACACAAACTTCACTGGAAAAGTGAAAATGGGTGATGGAAACATTGTCAAAGCCACTGGAAGAGGAACTCTGGTTATCAACACCAAGAAAGGAAGAAGATGTATAAGGGAGGTGATGCTAGTACCTGGATTGGATGAGAATCTACTTAGTGTGGGTCAAATGATGGAGCATGGCTATTTCCTACTCTTTGGGGGAACTGTGGTTGAGATCTATGATGACAGATCTCTATCAAACTTGGTGACCAAAGTGGAAGTGAAAAACAGAAGCTTTCCACTTGTACTGAAGTACTTAGAAGAAGTGGCAAAGAAAGCAAGTGTGACAAGTTCTATGAAACTATGGCACAAGAGACTTGGTCATTTAAACATGACAAGCTTACAAAATCTGCAAAAGGATGAAATGGTGCAAGGTATACCAAAAATGAATCAATGTAATGAAATCTGTGAAGGGTGTGTGTTTGGCAAGCATCACAGAGATTCATTTGAAGCTGGAAAGGCTTGGAGGGCAACAAAGCCACTCGAATTGATTCACTCAGATGTGTGTGGACCAATGAGAACAACAACAATCAGTGGAAACAGGTATTTCCTAACCTTCATTGATGATTATTCACGGATGTGTTGGGTGTATTTCATGAGGTTCAAGTCTGAGGTATTCACAATATTCAAGAAGTTTAAGGCAATGGTGGAATTGCAAAGTGGATACCAAATCAAAAGACTAAGAAGTGATAGGGGTGGTGAGTACACCTCACATGAGTTCAATGTATTCTGTGAAGATGTAGGGTTGGAGAAGCAACTCACTGTGGCATATTCACCACAACAGAATGGGATTGCAGAAAGGAAGAATAGGACTATAGTCGAAATGGCTAAGTCTATGATGCATGAGAAGAACATGCCTTATAAATTTTGGGGTGAAGCTGTGAACACCTCAGTGTATCTATTGAATAGGTGTCCTACTAAGGCATTGGAGAAGAAGACTCCATTTGAAGTGTTCAGTGGAAGGAAGCCTTCTGTGAAGCATCTGAGAGTGTTTGGCTCAGTATGCTACAATCTCATCCCTCATCAACTAAGGCACAAGTTGGAGAAATCAAGTAACAAGGGTGTTTTTGTAGGCTATGGTACCAGTGAGAAAGGATACAGAGTTTATAATGTATTGACTCAAAAGATAATCCTATCAAGGGATGTTATCTTTGACGAAGACTCAATGTGGAACTGGGATACAATGGTAGAGGAAAAGGACAGTGTCTCTCTACAAATTGACCTAAACAAAAGGCAAACAAGGGAGCCTATAGAGACCTCAGTTCAAGAAGAAGTCACAGATAATGGTGACATACAAGGGACCCCACAGCAAGCTACTATGAGTCCACAATCAAGTCAATCACAGACAACAACTCCTAGTTCAACTCCAGTAAGATTGAGAAATCTGGATGAGATTTATGCTACATGTAATTACTGTGTAGTAGAACCAGAAACGTATGAAGAAGCTGAGAAAGACAAAGCTTGGAAGAAAGCAATGAAGGAAGAGCTTGAAATGATAGAAAAGAATGACACTTGGGAACTTGTAAATCGACCAAGTGAGAAGCCTGTGATTGGTGTAAAATGGGTGTACAAAGTGAAGCTAAATCTAGATGGTTCTGTGCAAAAGAACAAGGCCAGGTTAGTGGCCAAAGGTTACTCACAGAAACCTGGTGTAGATTTCAATGAAACCTTTGCTCCAGTAGCAAGGTTAGACACCATAAAGACCTTGATAGCACTAACAGCCAAGAAGGGTTGGAAGCTGCATCAATTGGATGTTAAATCTGCATTTCTAAATGGAGTGCTAGAGGAGGAAGTGTTTGTGGAACAACCTCAAGGGTTCACAAATCAAGAGTTTCCAGAAAAAGTGTACAAGTTAAGGAAGGCTCTTTATGGCCTAAAACAAGCTCCAAGAGCTTGGTACAGTGAGATTGATTCATATTTCATTGAGAAAGGATTTCAGAAAAGTCCTAGTGAAGCTACACTCTACACCAAGACAGAAAGCAACAACAGGACACTCATTGTCTCAATCTATGTGGATGATGTTGTCTACACTGGAAATGATGCTGCAATGATGGAAGAGTTCAAGGAAGAAATGATGAAGAGGTACGAGATGACTGACCTAGGCCTCTTGCATCATTTTCTTGGCATTGGGGGTAATTCAAAAAGCAAGTAGCATCTTTATTCATCAAAAGAAGTATGCTGAAACTTTGCTTGAAAAGTTTGGTTTGAAGGGTTGCAAACCAGTTTCTACACCCTTAATTGCAAATGAGAAGCTCAAGAAGGAGGATGGAAGTGAACCTGCAGATGCTAGTCTCTATAAAAGCATTGTTGGCAGTCTATTGTATCTAACTGCAACAAGGCCGGATCTAATGTTCTCAGCAAGCCTACTTTCTAGGTTTATGCAGAATCCTAGCAAGATACATATGGGCACAGCTAAGAGAGTGCTAAGATATGTACAAGGAACTCTTGATTATGGGATCAAATATGAGATGGGAAAGTCATCTATTCTAATTGGATTCTGTGACAGTGACTGGGGTGGCAGTGAGGATGATAGTAGAAGCACATCGGGCTATGCTTTCACTTTCGGATCAGGGGTTTTTTCATGGGCCTCTGTGAAGCAACAAAGTGTTGCACTGTCCACAGCCGAGGCAGAGTATGTGAGTGCATCAGAAGCTACATCTCAAGCTATTTGGCTAAGGTTCATACTTAAAGATTTTGGCGAATTGCAAGTTGAAGCCACACCACTTCTGTGTGACAACACCTCTGCAATTGCCATGACTAAAAACCCAGTATTTCATCAGAGAACAAAACACATCAAGAGAAGATATCATTTCATCAGAGAAGCATTGCAAGACAACACAATCAAGCTAATCTATTGCAGCACAGAAGATCAGATCGCAGACATATTCACAAAAGCACTACCGAAGAAGAGATTCAATTACCTGAGGGGTTTGCTCGGATTGACTCCCAGAAGCAGTTTAGAAGGGAGTGTTGGAAGCTAACCAGCTCCTGGAGTCGGGGAGTCGAAGGCAGCAAGATACTCCCGAGCAAAAGGATGTCATCTGCATCGAAGAAGAAGAAAGAAAATGAAGGGTTCTAGTCTCCAATGGCTAGTTTTGTTTTAAATGTTTGTGTAAGTGTGTGAGTGACAAGTGTACACTCCAGATTAAATCATTTAACCCCAAAATGAAGGGTTAGGATGTAATCTGGAGTAGTAAGGCTTAATGGTTGTTAAAGCCTCTTGTCAATCACCTTTTGTAGAAAGTATGGGTGATGGAAATGCACCATACTCTTGTGTAAAAATCACTCTACTTATTCAATTAAGTCTGCTGCATTATTTGCACAGCAGAAACCAATCTCCAAGTTCCTTCCTTTCAATTTCTCTACTATCCTACCCAAGAAACCGATTCAAACACTCAATCAAAACACAAAACAAACAAACTTTATCAGAAGGAACACAATCCTCACCTGGGTTCGAGTTTAGAGCTTTGAAGCTCTCGGCTTCAATGGCAGAAAAACCCACGGTGATCATATGGCGCATGCAAGGGTACCATTGAGTTCGTTAGGTCTCAAGGATTTCAAATATATGGTTTTTGGGGTTTGATTTGTGAGGGAAGTGAGGTGAAAGCTAGAGAGAAGCTCTCGGAGCTTAGAGAGTGTGAGAAAGAGAGAGAAGAAACTGAAAAAAAATAAACAAAAGAGAAAGGTTCTGTGATGGGGAGTGTTTCGGGAATAGAGGGAAGAAGGGAGAGATATGAGAGCTGCCACATGGCAGTCTAAGAGAGACAACATTTCTAGATCAAGGGTTAGGATTAAAAGAGAATAAGGGACTAAAGTGATAGAAAACAAATATGTTCTAGGGGAAAATAGAAATAGAATGAAAATATGGGGGTGGGGTTTAACATTAATAGATAACTTAAAGAGTATTCATGAAACTAATTATAACATACAGAAGTACCGGAGTTCCAAATTGTCCAACTTACCAAACAAAACATGGGAAAGGCTATTGTTCTCCATATATTCGTATACCAGAAATAACTGATTTCCTTCGATGCAGCATCCATACAATTTCACAAGATTTGGGTGTTGTAAGGCAGAAATCATGCCTATTTCATTCACAAATTCACGATTTCCTTGCTTTGATTTTGAAGAAAGTTGCTTAACTGCAATAAAAGTGCCATCTAATAATTCGCCCTGCAGTTTGAAATGTAATACATTTGAGGAACATAGGTCAACCATAATACTCTCAACTGTGATAAACCAAAGCATTTAAGACAAAAGAAAAGTTCTTGCAAGTATAGGGAAACAAAAAGGAGCTATGGAATACCTTGTAAACAACTCCAAAGCCACCTTCCCCAAGCTTGTTTGCAGCATCGAAGTTATTAGTTGCAGCTTTAAGTTGCTTGAATTTAAAGAAACCAGTTTGCAGGTCTAATCCCATGAGATCTGTTCGTGTTGAAAGGTTAACATATTGAATCGTTCAGAATCGAGAGGGCAAGTGAATAACTAGAGGTAGAATAAAAGTTGAATTGCATGTATAACAAGTTTACAACAAGGGCCGGCATTAAACCCCTATTAAATTTTTGCATACTGATGAACTGTCAAATTATCAGATATTGTTCATGCATGATTTGATGATGAAATTACGTTAGTAGATGAAGTTAGAACTGGGATTAACTTTAAGTTAGAATTGTAAATGGAAACATTAAAGGCTAAGGATTTGAGTGAATTAAATAAAAATTAGTAACCCTAGGAAAAGGGATCAAGGTTCATCCATGCAGCTAACTTTCGTTGATAAGTTCTCTTTCATGATTCAGCATACTGATAGTGCACCAGTGTAAAGCCCTTATGAAAATTCATACTCTAGCAAGCAGAAACACGAATAACTTTTCAACTTTTCTAAATAAAATAAATGACCTATATGGTATTGTCTGTACCTTGTTCCCTGGTTGTCCTGCCTCGGAAACAGCCTTTCAACCAAAGAATGCCCAAAATTACGAAAAGAAGGAATAACGCTGAAACAACTCCAATCACAATGAATTTCTTCCTTTCGCTAGGCGGCTTGAAATCTAGAAGAAGAGTCAAGAATAGTGACTATGAGAGAACAATAAATTTCTACAGGATTGTATAAAGCGAACTTAAACGTTGCTACTTACCAGACTGCACTGAGATAGCTGATATCAGAGAACCATATATTCCTCTTGTTGGAACATTTGTTGTCCCTTTCCCAGCCCACTGAAAGCGGATTTCTAAAGTCTTGACGCTAACAACTGCTGTAAATACCTCAACTGCTTCCTTATCAACCCCTTGTGCTTTCTTTTCAATATCAAAATCCTCCAAAACCAGTTTTTCCTGCAATAAATAATTTACTCGGTCAAGTAGAAAAATAAGAAAGACGGGAAGCGGTTAAGAAAAATTGTGAATAAAGTATGAGGTGTTGTGGATCGCTGCTTAAGCTATGTGAGTAAAAAGACAAGGAAAAGAGTGAAAATTATCCAAATGGTTAAAACTAAAAGTGATAAAAATATAAAATGTTTACTATTCCAGAGCCAAAAAGCACTGCAAATGACTACCTGGATATAAACGTTAAAAATTCGTCTTCCAACACCATAATAAGACCTGTTGTCTCTGAGAACTATTTCCGCAAAGTGAAGTTTCACAGTGTAATTTCCATATGCTAAGCAACGAGCATAATATGTGAGTGAAAGAGGAGACAGTCGTGCAGTTTTGTACAATTCAGAGTTGTTCATTCTGAGTATCGAAATATTATTAGCGATATAGTCTTTGCCATAGGTCTCAACTGTAAGTTTGTGAGTGTCAAGGAGAACGACTTCTGTTTCTCACTCTAACCCATGTTTCGGTTATGGGTTATCACGTGGAGAAGATTAAGCTATTACTTGGCTGAGATTAAGAGTCCTAATATGCAACTATTATTGGTAAACCTTATCACGTTTTGACAAAGAATTCAACATCAAGTAGGACTATTGTGAAACCCTAATAATATCCGGGTATCAGTTGATAGGCCTGATATCAAGGATGATTGGCTATATATTAGGAGGTCCCTGCACTCACAGCAATTATTCCATTACGTGCGAACCCTATTCTAGCAGGAACTTTAGGCTGCTGAGTGTAGAAGATCTCTTTCATCCTTCTGCAGAAATGTCGAGTTCTTCCTCAGGTAAGCACTCACTTCTCTCATGTATGCATGTTCATATATGTATGTGGTTCTATACATGCAGTCAGTTATACTCTTACATGTGGTATCAGAGCCTGCAAGGTATTCGTAATGTGAATTGAACAGCCAGTATCAAACCACCAACTAAAAGGAGGAACATAAATCAAGTTGGACTCGAAACAAACAAAAACATTTATTTCATTACCTTTCTTAACCAGCCAGTTTTTAAAACCAGTGCAATCTTTCCTTAGATGGCCGACTTCTTTGCAGAAATAACAAGGCTTAGGAGCTTCAGTTGTGACTTTAAATTTTTGAGATCGTTTAAGAGGGTTAGTATTTTTAAAAGAAGAAAAGGTTGAATTTTTCTTCTGCTTACCAGCAGTCATAGATGACTGATCAACAGCCACATGTTTGCCCTTTGCATTGTGAACAAAGTTCACAGTCTCCATTTTATCAGTTGACAGCCTCAACTCTTCCTGTGCACACATGGAAATTAAGTCATCAATATCCCAGGTTGCTTTCTGAGTGTTGTACGACACCTTTAGCTGGCCATACTGTGCAGGCAAGGAATTCAGTGCCATATGCACCAAAAACTGGTCTGTCAATGGATGCTCCAGTTCTTTCAGCTTTTGTGCGATGTCTGACATTTTCAGAATGTGTTCTCTCACACTCCCAACACCGTCGAACTTCATGGATGTCAATTTCGTGAGAAAATTTCCAGTTTCAGCTTTTTCAGATTTCTTGAACTTGTTCCCTATGGCGTCAAAGAATGTTTTTGCACTGTCACTCTTTGGAATGCCACCTTTCACGCTGCTTGTCATGGACCTTCTCATAATCATAAGGGCCATCCTGTTTGCCTTCTCCCATTGAGCAGACTTCGACTTTTGTTCTGCTGTGCTTTCAACAGTCAGTGCAGCAGGCTTGTCCTCCCTTAGAGCCAAGTCAAAATCCATCATGCCAAGGGCTATCTCCAAGTCCTCTTTCCATTTCTTGTAATTGGAACCCGTTAGGGTTTCAATGTTAGAGAAGTTAAGAGAAGTCATGGCTGCATCAACCATAATTATATGTTACTTATTCTCATAAGCTCATCATTAAGAGTCCAAAATATGAACAATTAATGGCATCGTAAAACATATAATTCGAGTCACATCTTTAGATCGAAAACTGATTATATTAGGATTTGCACAATTGAAATACAAGGTTTCACATTCGCTAGGCAATTTAACACTTTTGAGTAGATAAAATTGCTTGGATCATGATTGCGCATTTCACTTATACACCAATTAAACATGACTGAATATAGAATTCTTTAGAATTATCTCAAAATATATTCACCATCAGTTTAATCATTATGTTCAGCATGAACAGATACTAGAATACATGATTCAAACACTTTTGAGTCGAAATTGATCATGATTCACAAAATGGTTTGTATGTAAAGTCATTAGTGATAGTAACCTTTAGTTCTTCAAGTACCGGAGATTCTTCTTCATTTTCTGAGGAATAAACTTTGCAGAACATACATACATATATATATATATATATATATATGTTTATGTGTGCGTCTATGTATAAGTGAAACATGGATGCGAGTTGAATAGACTAACATACAATGATAATCATCAATAAAACATCAGTTTCAATATGCGGAAGACTTTTATCAGGATCACAACTTGTTTAATCAGGGTCTTGCGTAAGGATTCTAAACATGACAGTGATTGCTCTGATACCTCAAAACTAAAGGAGAAAAATAATGAGATTTACAATGTTTTCGTTGGGAATGGGAGCAAGGTAGCAGTCGAGTCCATTGGCAGTGTTTCATTAAAGCTTTCTTCTGGTTTCATTTTGTTTTTAAGTCCAGTACTCTATGTACCTTCTATGAGAAGGAATTTGATTTCAGCTTCTAAGTTAGTCAAATCAGGTTATACTTTTATTGGTGACCATGAAAGTGTAAGACTTTTTCATTCAAATAAATTGGATACCTTGCTCGGATATGCTTCTCTTCAAGTTGATATGTGGCAGCTTCAATGTGATTATTTACATGAATGTTTTACTGTCTGTCACATTGGTTCCAAAAGATTATTTCAAAGTGATGATTCTCCCACTCTTTGGCATAAAAGACTCGGTCACATATCCAAAGAAAGACTTGTGATTTTATCAAAACAAAATCTTATACCAAAACTTGATTATGGAAGTTTACCTACTTGTATCGACTGTTTTAAAGGGAAAATGACCAATACCAGAAAATTAGGATCCACAAGAAGTAACCAGCTTTTAGAAATAATACACACCGATGTTTGTGGCCCTTTCCCAAATAAAACCATCTGTGGTAACTCATATTTTGTCACCTTCATTGACGATTTTTCAAGATACTGTTATATTTTTCTCATAGCTGAAAAGTCTTCTGTTCTTGACTGTTTTAAAATATATAAACATGAGGTTGAAAAACAACTTGAGAAGAATATTAAAATTGTGAGATCGGATAGGGGTGGTGAGTATTTTGGCAGGTTTACAGAGACTGGACAACACAAGGGAGCCTTTGCACAATATCTTGAAGCATTAGGAATCGTTGCACAGTATACTACTCCAGGCACTCCGCATCAAAACGGCGTGGCAGAACGGAAAAATAGGACTCTGAAAGACATGGTTCGATCCATGTTTTCAAGGTCCAAACTTCCAATTTTTCTCTGGGGAGAAGCACTCAAAACAGCCAACTATACACTGAATAGGGTCCCAAGCAAATCTGTCCAAGTTGTACCCTTCGAAGCTTGGACAGGTAGGAAGCCAAGCTTCAACCATTTCCATGTCTGGGGATGTAGGGCTGAGGCTCGGTTTTACAACCCTCAAGAAAGAAAATTAGATCCTCGAACTGTAAGTTGCAGATTCATTGGCTATGCTGAGAAGTCTAAAGGCTTCAAATTCTATTGTTCGGATTCCCACACTAGAATACAAGAAACCAACAATGCAAAGTTCATTGAGGATTTAGAAGAAGGTATTGTGCAACATAACAACACATATTTTGAAGAGATTAGAGATGATTGTGATCAAGCTTCAGCAACCATGCATGCACCGTTGCTTGTTGACCAAGGAAGCTTGTATTCCCTTCCAGTTGTTCTTCCAAATGCTCAATCACAAGATACCACGTTCATTCCAGAACCTGCCCAGCCACCGGTGGACAATTATGATACTGAACAACCAGTGCCTGAGCAACAAATTCCTGACCCCGATGTTGATCAGTCTCTACATCAAGTGCAGCTGCCCTTAAGACAGTCTAATAGGCAAAGAAAGCCTGTGATTCTCCCAGATTTTGTCTATTTACAAGAGACTGAATACAACATTGGCGATGAAGACGATCCCATCACATTTCATCAAGCTGTCAACAGCTCGAAAGCAGAATTATGGCAGGCTGCAATGGCTGAAGAACTTGCAGCTATGGAAAAGAATAAAGTTTGGATGTTGGTGCCACTTCCATGCAATGCCAAACCCATTGGGTGCAAGTGGGTTTTCAAAACCAAAAGAAATACAGTGGGAAAGGTTGAACGACATAAAGCTAGGCTCGTAGCTAAGGGTTTTACACAAAGAGAAGGCATCGACTATAATGAAACCTTCTCTCCAGTTTCATCCAAAGACTCTCTAAGGGTGATTATGGCCTTAACTGCTCATTTCAACCTGGAATTACATCAAATGGATGTAAAGTCCGCATTTCTTAATGGAGATTTGTTCGAAGAAATAGTAATGGTTCAACCACCAGGTTTTGTGGAGGAAGGGAAAGAGTCTATGGTCTGCAGGCTCAACAAATCTATCTATGGCTTAAAACAATCATCCAGGCAATGGTACATTAAGTTTGATCAAGTTGTTGCTGCTTTTGGTTTTGAAGAAAACAAAATTGATGACTGTATATACCTCAAGGTCAGTGGCTCGAAATTTATATTCTTGGTACTATATGTTGACAATATTCTATTAGCTAGCTCCGATTCAAATCTTCTACACACAACCAAAGGCATGTTGACTGAGAGTTTTGATATGAAAGATCTTGGTGAGGCACATTTTGTTCTTGGTATTGAAATAGAGAGAGATAGATCCAAGAGAATGCTAAGATTATCACAGAAGACTTATATTGACAGAATCTTGAAAAGATTTAATATGGAGAAATGTGCAGGTGGCGAGCTTCCAATTGCAAAAGGGGATAAGCTAAGCACTGATCAATGTCCCAAAAATGATCTTGAAAAGAATGAGATGAAGGATAAGCCTTATGCTTCACTTGTTGGCAGCATCATGTATGCCCAAGTTTGCACTAGGCCTGATCTGGGATTTGCAGTCAGTGTCCTAGGGCGTTTTCAATCTAACCCTGGGAATACTCACTGGACTGCAGCTAAGAAAGTACTAAGGTATTTAAAGAAAACTAGAAACCTGGCACTAGTGTATCGACAAGTTGAACAGTTAGAAATGGTTGCATACTCGGATTCAGACTTAGCTGGCTGTGTGGATGAAAGAAAATCTACAAGTGGGTATGTTTTTCTTCTTGCTGATGGTGCCATCTCGTGGAAAAGTTCCAAGCAAAAGGTGATTGCTTCCTCAACTATGGAGGCAGAGTTTATTGGTTGCTATACTGCCACCAAACAAGCAATCTGGTTGAGGAATTTTATTATGGGACTAAAGGTTGTGGACTCGATAGAAAGACCTATCACTATTTTTTGTGACAACAAGGCTGCAGTCTTATTTTCCAGAAATAACAAGAGATCCATTGCTTGCAGACTAATGGATATTAAGTACTTGCGTGTAAGAGATGAAGTCAGAAAAGGGCTGATCAACATAGTTCATATAGGAACTAATGCCATGATAGCTGATCCAATGACTAAAGGCTTACCAGTGGGAGTGTTCAAGAAACATGTTCACAACATGGGTATGCGAGAAGATTTTGATTCTGTTGATGAGTGGGAGTAATATTTTCCACTTGGTTCTGTTAATAAGTGGGAGTAGTAACTCACTCATTGTTTCGTTATGTTTCTTGCTAATTGGATGTTTTCATGATGTTTTATGCTCATAACTATCTTATTGAAATTATATGAGCCATGTGTTAGCATACGGCTCGGTTCAGGAGTTGAATTTTGTTTATCAACCTGAAGTATTTTGAATTTTGTCAAACAACACAGTGCTCATAGTTTGAATGCTTGTGACGATAAAACGCACATGTAGAAGGAATTACATACTGTGTTTATGGTTCAGTATTTAAAGCTATGAGTGACAGGTTGTTAAAGGTAAACTTGCAGTTCCTATGGACTAGTGATCACCTTAATCTCGATCAAAGTAATGTCGTTCTTCTTGGACACTCAAGTGGGAGAATGTAAGTTTGTGAGTGTCAAGGAGAACGACTTCTGTTTCTCACTCTAACCCATGTTTCGGTTATGGGTTATCACGTGGAGAAGATTAAGCTATTACTTGGCTGAGATTAAGAGTCCTAATATGCAACTATTATTGGTAAACCTTATCACGTTTTGACAAAGAATTCAACATCAAGTAGGACTATTGTGAAACCCTAATAATATCCGGGTATCAGTTGATAGGCCTGATATCAAGGATGATTGGCTATATATTAGGAGGTCCCTGCACTCACAGCAATTATTCCATTACGTGTATGCATGTTCATATATGTATGTGGTATCAGAGCAATCACTGTCATGTTTAGAATCCTTACGCAAGACCCTGATTAAACAAGTTGTGATCCTGATAAAAGTCTTCCGCATATTGAAACTGATGTTTTATTGATGATTATCATTGTATGTTAGTCTATTCAACTCGCATCCATGTTTCACTTATACATAGACGCACACATAAACATATATATATATATATATATATATGTATGTATGTATGTTCTGCACAGTTTATTCCTCAGAAAATGAAGAAGAATCTCCGGTACTTGAAGAACTAAAGGTTACTATCACTAATGACTTTACATACAAACCATTTTGTGAATCATGATCAATTTCGACTCAAAAGTGTTTGAATCATGTATTCTAGTATCTGTTCATGCTGAACATAATGATTAAACTGATGGTGAATATATTTTGAGATAATTCTAAAGAATTCTTATATTCAGTCATGTTTAATTGGTGTATAAGTGAAATGCGCAATCATGATCCAAGCAATTTTATCTGCTCAAAAGTGTTAAATTGCCTAGCGAATGTGAAACCTTGTATTTCAATTGTGCAAATATGTGAGTGAAAGAGGAGACAGTCGTGCAGTTTTGTACAATTCAGAGTTGTTCATTCTGAGTATCGAAATATTATTAGCGATATAGTCTTTGCCATAGGTCTCAACATCAGCCAAATCACCAGTACTACTAAATCCCCAATTTGCTGAGTTCTGAAAAAACTTTGCTGCACCTCCTGGGGCGTCATCTGCCTCATACTTGATGTTTCCGACTGTGGTTTGATTTCCACCGCAATTTAGATGTAACGAGTACCGATCTATACAGAGAAGAGCACAAAGAAAGTGTAAGAGAAAAAACAAAAACAATACTTTGTAACCTTTTCACTGCATATGAAGACGAATTTGTTAGTGTTAAAACAACCTTTAACCTTCCCTGTGAGCTGTGACTCACAGGTAATATGAAATCAAAAACTGTTTACACAAATGAAGAAGATGATGCAGTGAGAGAGAGATGAAGAATGCAGAGAATATGACTCTGCAAGATGATTTCACTGTTTCATTCCACCGAGAGTGAGTGAGGAAAAGTCTCACTCCTCTTAATTGCTATTACAATTTAAACTTGGCAGTATTCAAATTACATCCATCCAATCCTAGCCATCCATCTTACATCCTATGAGATGAAGATACATATACACTTACTTGATTAAGACCTATGAGACTTAATAAGAAAGCATACACACAATCCTAGCAATATGAGCTAGAAACCAACAGCCACATCAGACCACAATTTACACACTAACAGAATTTACCACTCTGGATTTAATTACACAATAAATTTAACTACCTTTGAACATGGAAGGAGGCATTTGCTAAGTATCCTACAGTATGAAAAACAAACATTAGCTTCTTAACTTAATGAAGAGAAATGAAAAGTCTTTGCATGAAGCTCATGAAGTTAGAAGCATACGAATTGTTCCGGCTGGAAAAACTTCTGAACAAATTGCTGATGCAAAACACATCATAAAAAGTTAGATTCATCTGTTTGGAAAGTCAAAGAAAGTAACGTAGGTCTATCTCAAGGATATTAACATAAAGAAAAAAATGGAAAAACAGCTGTGCTTACAAGGTATCTGACAAGTATCTGGGACAGAGTTCTGAGATAAATTATTGTAAGAAAGATCTATATTGCTGCACACAAACATGAATCTCTCTGTTAACATGGAATTCCAGTAAAATCAATATCAGAATATTTTGGTAAAACTTGTAAATTATATAATTACTTGTGGTAATTCAATAGTATGCATATCATCAGAGTAATGAAAAAGATAAAGCAGAACATATGAAATTGAGGATGACGAAGCAGAAAAATATGTAAGATTCTGGGATGAAGAAACATACAAGCTACTGCCTCTATTTTTAATCCACGCTGGAAGACCAGTAAGCAAGTTTCTTGTCAGATATCTGATGAGTGAACAAAATAAAACAGATGTCAATGAACATGTGTATAATTATACTGGTTCAAAATACAAAGAAAGACGGGAAATTTGGTTGAATCCTAAACATATTCATATCTCTATTTCTTTTTTTACTGATAAACGAAAAACAAAACGGCACTCGTTCTCATTTGGGCCAGAATGTGTTATCCAAAATTAAGCTCCATGTTAACATCAAAACGACAATGTTAAAAGTTGGATCATGACACTTGTAGGAACCAAGGGAAATGCCTCCATGCATCATTATGTGTGATAGCTACCCTTATGAGTTAAATTCCTTACATTGTGGACAATTGAATAATATTTTCAAGATCGGGAATGCTCCCTTCCAATCTGTTGAAGCTAAGATCTCTGCAAATAAATATGTACGCAAATAATCAGAAGCAAATTAAGCAAATCATAAAAGCATAACTGAATCAACCAGTATGAAGTGTTAGATCCCACATTGCCCATGGGAGGGGATCCTCTATGCCTTATATGTACATGCCCACCTCCATTAGCACAAGGCTTTTTGGGAGTTCACTGGCTTCGGGTTCCATCGGAACTCCGAAGTTAAGCGAGTTTGGGCTAGAGCAATCCCATGATGGGTGACCCACTGGAAAGATCTTGTGTGAGTTCCCAAAAACAAAACCGTGAGGGCGTGGTCAGGGCCCAAAGCGGACAATATCGTGCTACGACGGAGTCGAGCCCGGAATGTGATGGAGCCCGGGTCTGGATGTGACATGAAGTCTGTCATTGTGAAAAATAAATAGAACAGTATGTACACCAAATTCAAGATCGGGTTTAGAAAAAATTTAGAATGTGATGCTTAACTGAAAGGTGCACGTTTTAAAGCTTGTTACCAGTAAGGTCAAGCAACAATTTTAAGTCCACAAATCTCAAACATGACCTAATTGTCGTATATAATATGCTCATAGTGTTACCAGTTTGTTATACGACATTAGTAATAATCTAGAGCTACAGTGTAAAACCAATTATTAAGACGACCATGTCATGAAAAAATGGAGAACAATAGATAGAAGACTTACAAATCAGTCAGATTTCTCATGGTAGAGATATATTCAGGGATTTCTCCTGTTATATTGCAGCTCCTTAACATCCTGCAATTTAAGCAACCGATATTAGAAAAGTAGTTTTCATCTACACACGTTATGCTAATAGAAAAATATATAAAACCTAAAAGATGGCTCACAATTTAACCATGCTCGTCATGTTTGATAAGTTTGGAAAAGCTGAACTCTCACCGCTTAAGTCACTAATCCTTCTGCAAAAGGTAGCGTGATAACGTGTTGGAATACAAGTATCTTAATAAATACACTTTTCTCTCTAAATTAGAAAAGGGACTCAAGGAGATCACGAAAATTAAGATAACTGATAGCTTAGAAGGCAGGACTCACAGATATGTCATATTATTCAAGGCAGAGAGACTAGATGGAAGTGGGCCTTCAAGACCACTCGCTTGCATCTCTCTGTAAACAACGTATTTGATGGATTTAGGATTACACATGAAAATATTTCAGTTGAGAATTAAAAAAGTGCACTAGAAGAGATCTCTTACAAGATCTGGATGTTGAATTGTGGCCAAGTGGCCAAGTGGACAACAAAACAAAACAACTTTCGGCTAATAAACAAACCAAAATAAAAAAGGTGAAAGACATCATGATGAGGAGGCATCATGATTATGTTTGTTGAAAAGAAAAGTTGATGGTCATGATGATGTTTTTGAATTTTTTATTGGGTGTTGATGATGGATGAATGTTAGCATACGGAAGTGAGAAAGAGAGAGGAAGTTGGAGTGCACCATTTTCTGTTTTGTAGTCCATCTTTGAGAGAGCAAAGAGAGCTGCAGAGAGCAGAAAACTGAGAGCAGAAAGAGAAGAAAGAAAGATGATTTCTTTCTTTGTTGGTACTCACTCAATCAAAGTTGTATTTGTGTATTAGCTTTGAGCTTTGTATAGAGAGGAAATTATTCACTATATTTCCCTCTCTATTTGTTTCTTTAGAGTGTGAGAGTTATTGGGTGTATTGGGTTATTTGGGTTGTGAGATTGCCAACACTTTGTAAACTCCCATTTGGTTGATAGTGGATTATTGGGTGAGCTCCTACTGCTCCGAGGACGTACTCCAGTTACACTGACTGTTGAGGAACCTCGTTAAAATCTTGGTGTTCTTTTATATTTTGTTCTTGCATTTTCATTTGATATATTATCTGTGGGTTAGCTTGAGTTGGTTCCAACGGGTTTGGTGCTGTCCTAGCACAACAATTGGTATCAGAGCACTAGTTGCTCTTGGGTACTGTTTAGTTGCCAAAGATGTCAGACGGGCAAGATGAGAATCCTTTTGGAAGCAGCTCCGGGTTTGCAAGAACTACGGTGCAAAATGCAAAGTTCGAAGTGGAAAAGTTTGATGGCACAAACAACTTCGGGATGTGGCAATGTGAGGTCAAAGATGTGTTGGCTCAACAAGATCTACTTGCCGCTTTGGGAGAGAAGCCGGAAGCTATGTCGAAGCCGGAATGGGAGAAATTAAATTTGTGGGCTTGCTCTTCAATTCGGTTGTGTCTTGCAAAAACTCAAAAGTATTTTGTGATGCGGGAGACATTAGCAAGTGTGTTGTGGCAAAAATTGGAAGACAAGTATATGACAAAGAGTGCAGAGAACCGGCTACACTTGAAGAAAAAGCTCTACCGCTTCCAATACAAAGAAGGTACAAAAATGATTAAACACCTTGATGCTTTTAATAAGTTGATTGCCGACTTGTTAAATTTAGATGAGGATATTAAGGATGAAGATAAGGCCTTAATATTGTTGAATTCCTTGCCGGACTCTTATGAGCATTTTGTTACCACTATTATGCATGGTAAAGAAACTGTGAAATTTGAAGATGTGTCAAATGCCTTGATGAATTATGAAATGAGGCATAGAGATAAAAATCATGATAGTACCTCTGAAGCTTTATTTGTTAGAGGTAGATCATCGGAGAGGAGGTCATCTTCTAGCAGGAAAAAATCACAGTCTCGACCTAGAGGAAACTCTAAAGGTAGAAAACCTTTGGAAATGGATGAATGTGCCTTTTGTCGTAATAAGGGCCATTGGAAGAAAGATTGTCCCAAATTGAAGACCAAAGGAAAAGAAAGTTCTGAAGCTAATGTTGCTGAGGTTGAAACAGATTTTTCTGATTTTGCTTTAACCACTTCCTCATCATTTGATTGTGCTACTAAGTGGGTGTTGGATACGGGTTGTACTCATCATATGACTCCTCACAAAGATTGGTTTTCAAGCTTGAAAGAGTTTGATGGTGGCGTTGTGTTCATGGGAGATGACAATCCTTGCACAACAAAAGGGATTGGTACAGTTCGTTTGAAGTTGCATGATGGCATGGTTAAAGAGTTGACAGGTGTTCGGTATGTACCGAATTTGAAGAAAAATCTTATTTCTTTGGGTACTTTGGAATCCAAGGGCTTCAGGTTTCATTCAGATGGGCAGACATTGAAAGTTACTTATGGTGCACTTGTTGTGATGAAAGCTCCTAGATGTGGCCATTTGTATTTATTGCAGGGAAGCACTGTGATAGGTGAAGCATCTGTAGTCTCTGAAAATATGGGCACATCTGATTCAGATACTACTAGATTGTGGCATATGAGATTAGGCCATGCCGGTGAGAAAGCTCTACAAGGGCTTGTGAAAAAAGGTCTTCTAAAAGGTGCCACGACTTGTAAGCTTGATTTCTGCGAGCATTGTGTCTTGGGGAAGCAAACTAGAGTGAAGTTTGGTACTGCGGTACATCAGACGAAGGGCATTCTTGATTATGTGCATTCGGATGTTTGGGGTCCTACAAAGACTCCCTCTTTGAGTGGTAGACATTGGTTCGTGACCTTTGTTGATGATTATTCAAGAAGGTCTTGGGTCTACACTATGAAGCACAAGAGTGAGGTGTTAAGCATTTTCTTGGGTTGGAAGAAAATGGTTGAGAACCAGACTAGGAGAAAGATTAAGATTTTGAGATCGGATAATGGTGGTGAATACACATCCGATCCTTTCTTTAAAGTTTGCAAAGAGGGAAGGAATTGTGAGACATTTCAGTGTTCGGGGAACTCCACAACAAAATGGAGTTGCAGAAAGATTGAATCGAACCTTGCTTGAGAAGGTTAGATGTATGTTGTCTCAGTCGGGTTTAAGCAAGTCATTTTGGGCAGAGGCAGTTAATTATGCATGTCACATCATCAACCGGTTACCCTCAGCTGCTGTTCAGGGTAAGACACCAATGGAGGTATGGACTGGAAAACCTTCTTCTGATTATGACTATATCCGTATTTTTGGTTCACCTGCTTATTTTCATGTGACTGAAAATAAACTTGATCCTAGAGCCAAAAAGGCTATCTTTCTTGGTTTTAGTAGTGGTGTCAAAGGTTACAGGTTGTGGTGCCCAGAGATGAAAAAACTTGTAATCAGCAGAGATGTGACATTTGATGAAGAAAGTATGTACAAAGTCTCTGAGAAGAATGTGAAAGATGTCCAACAGGTGGAGCTTGAGAAAGTTGCCTCTGGTACTTCAAATCCTATTTCCGCTGATGTCGAAGCCACTACAAGTGAAGAAGTTGGAGACTATGAGGATGTTGAAGAAGTTGAACTTGAAGATTCTATTCAAGTTGAAGAGCAAGTTTCACCTCAAGAGTCTATTGCCAAGAACAGAGGAAAGAGACAAATTACCAAGCCAGCTCGGTATAATGATTATGTTGCTTTTGCTCTTCCTATTATCACTGAAGAGATTCCATCAAATTATGAGGAAGCCATTGAGAGTGAGGAGAAGAAGAGGTGGTGCAATGCCATGGGTGATGAGATGAATTCTCTCTTGAAGAACAAGACTTGGGAGTTAGCTAAATTGCCTAAGGGCAAGAAAGCTATCGGTTGCAAATGGGTGTATGCCAAGAAGGAAGATGCTGATGAGAAAAGCAATGTGAGATTTAAAGCAAGATTAGTTGCTAAAGGGTATGCACAAAAGGAGGGCATTGACTACAATGAAATATTTTCTCCAGTTGTGAAGCACTCCTCAATTCGTATTATGTTAGCTCTTGTTGCACAATATGATCTTGAGCTTGTGCAACTCGATGTGAAGACGGCTTTCCTACATGGTGATTTGAATGAAGAGATTTATATGTGTCAACCGGATGGGTATATAGTGAAAGGGAAGGAAAATTTGTTTTGCAAATTGAAGAAATCACTTTATGGCTTGAAGCAATCTCCAAGGCAATGGTATTTGAGGTTTGATAAATTTATGAGAGGCCAAAATTATTCTAGAAGTCAATATAATCATTGTGTGTACTTCAAGAAGTTGCAAGATGGGTCTTTCATTTATTTGTTGATATATGTGATGATATGTTGATTGCCTCAAAAAATGTTGAAGAGATTGAAAAATTGACGAAGCAAATGAAGAATGAGTTTGAGATGAAGGATCTTGGTGAAGCGAAGAAGATCCTTGGCATGGAGATCACTAGAGATAGAGAGAAGGGTTTGGTCAGTTTGAATCAAAGACAATACCTTGAGAAGTTGATTCGGAAGTTTGGAGTTCATGATTCAACCAAACCGGTTAGTACCCCTTTGGCTCCTCATTTTAAATTGAGTTCTCTACAATGTCCTAAAAATGATAAAGAGAAGCTGCAAATGAAAAATATACCATATGCAAATTTGGTTGGTAGTTTGATGTATGCAATGGTATGCTCTAGACCGGATATTGCTCATGCAGTTGGCATGGTGAGTCGATATATGCATAATCCAGGTAAAAAGCATTGGCAAGCAGCTAAATGGATATTGAGGTATCTCCATGGTACTCGAGATGTTGGTTTATGCTTTGAGAGGGATGACTCTGGTATTGGTCATTTTGCAGTTGGTTATGTTGATTCAGATTATGCAGGTGATCTGGATGGAAGGAAGTCTACTACAGGCTATGTGTTTACTATGGCTAAATGACCAGTTTGCTGGAGGTCCATTTTGCAGTCGTCTGTTGCCTTGTCTACTACAGAGGCTGAATATATGGCAGTTGCTGAAGCTATAAAGGAGGCCATTTGGATACATGGGCTGATTAGAGATTTGGGAGTTGATCAGAAGCAGGTGGAGGTACATTGTGATAGTCAGAGTGCCATTTATTTGGCTAAGTATCAGGTTCATCATGCGAGGACCAAGCACATAGATGTGCGTTATCACTTTGTTCGTGAAATTGTTGGTGAAGGGGAAATCATTCTCCAGAAGATTCCAACTAAAGACAACCCCTGATATGTTGACTAAGGTTGTTGGTGTAGCCAAGTTTGTTCATTGTTTGAACTTGGCTCACATTTTGCCTATATAAAGAAGGCGTTGAGCAGTAGGAGTTTTGGAGCATTTGGCTCGGCATGAGTTGTTCTCTTGCTAGTGTTTTGGAGTGATGTTGTGTGTTAATTGTGTTGGTTGGCTTATCATGGCGTTTTTCGGAACTTGGCCAAGGTGGAGATTGTTGAATTGTGGCCAAGTGGCCAAGTGGACAACAAAACAAAACAACTTTCGGCTAATAAACAAACCAAAATAAAAAAAGGTGAAAGACATCATGATGAGGAGGCATCATGATTATGTTTGTTGAAAAGAAAAGTTGATGGTCATGATGATGTTTTTGAATTTTTTATTGGGTGTTGATGATGGATGAATGTTAGCATACGGAAGTGAGAAAGAGAGAGGAAGTTGGAGTGCACCATTTTCTGTTTTGTAGTCCATCTTTGAGAGAGCAAAGAGAGCTGCAGAGAGCAGAAAACTGAGAGCAGAAAGAGAAGAAAGAAAGATGATTTCTTTCTTTGTTGGTACTCACTCAATCAAAGTTGTATTTGTGTATTAGCTTTGAGCTTTGTATAGAGAGGAAATTATTCACTATATTTCCCTCTCTATTTGTTTCTTTAGAGTGTGAGAGTTATTGGGTGTATTGGGTTATTTGGGTTGTGAGATTGCCAACACTTTGTAAACTCCCATTTGGTTGATAGTGGATTATTGGGTGAGCTCCTACTGCTCCGAGGACGTACTCCAGTTACACTGACTGTTGAGGAACCTCGTTAAAATCTTGGTGTTCTTTTATATTTTGTTCTTGCATTTTCATTTGATATATTATCTGTGGGTTAGCTTGAGTTGGTTCCAACGGGTTTGGTGCTGTCCTAGCACAACACTGGAGGTCTTTCCAACTTCGAAAGTAGTCAGGTATTCTTCCAGTGAAGTTGTTACTGCCAATATAACTGTAAATAATGCCACAAAAAGCCGAAAGATTAAATGACATAAACCATAAGTATTTCATGGAACGAACCTACATTATTTAAGGTAGTCATATCACGTACAGTACTCTTAATTTGGTCATTTTAATGAGGGCCAAAGGCAGCTCACCGGTGAGATTGTTAGCACGAAGATAACTGTAGTTACCCAATACCCATACAAAAAAAAAGACCAAACCGTTGTCAATTAACATATATACTTGCTTATGAAAATCCAAAAAAAATAAAAGGTATAAACATATAAGGGACAATAAAATAGAAAATTGACAGAAGCTCCATGTTAACCAAATTGCCCAACTCCAGGGGAATAGTTCCAGAAAATTAGTTGCTCTCCAAGGCCCTGAAAGCAAAGCCTTGTCAAGTTCGTATCCAAATCAAACAAATTGGTGCACCAAACTAACTATTCTGAATGAGGTGAAAGCAATGGAAGAAAGAATAGATGCATACAGTGCTTGGAGAGTAGTTATGCTTCCCAAATAACCAGGAATAGGTCCTGATAAGTTGTTCACACTGAGAACCCTGCATTGGCATGACATTAGTTCAATAATTGGCACACGAGTTTATCATCAACCTCAAACAAAAGTCTACAAGTCACTTACAGAAATTCCAACTTAGTAGAATTCCATTCGCGTGGTATTGAACCGCTAAGGTAATTCTGGCCCAAATTACTACGACCATAAAGAAACAGTGCTATTAGGATTTCAGACGGAAACTTAATAAATTGGTGGTCAGAGAAACTAAAACAGAATAGTGAAAATATCTTCATACACTTGCTTAAGGTAAGGTAGCTTCGACAGTGCTGGTGGAAGCACACCATCAAGGTCCTGTCCGGTAAGAAAACTGCATGAAAAGGATCCATAACTTATAGGTTATGAATGTTGTGCTAAAAACCGCAATCTCTTACAACTTGATAAAGACAAAAAACCTTCATGCACTTGCAATTGTAGCATCGGCCAGTAACCATTACAGGAAATTTAGAGCAGAAATTATATATTACAGCTCGTAAAAATTGCTTACATGCTTTGAATGTGGCATACATTGCCAGAGAAAGAGCAGTTGCAGACGAGAGTGTTGTTGTACTGATCTGTATGCGGGATTGAAACAGTCGGAATATTGCTACAAGGATCACTGAAATTCCAATCCTTTTTATTCAATTGCACAGCTATTTCACGAAGTGCTTCCACTGCCACACCCAAATGCACAGAAACACAATGTCAAACAAAACCACTTTTCACAAAAGCAAGTAATGAGTAAGATAAAGTTTCATCCTTTCTGGTAAGTCTAATACAATTGGCCACAGAAAACATAGAAAAATTTGAACCTCATAAAAAATTCATGCATAAGCACTATTCTTATTCAATTTCCTGTCAAATTTTGTCTAAAAAGCTTACAAATTTAAGTTATTTCCACCATAAACATACATTTTTCAAATGAACAATCCAATTCCAGCAACTAAAATTGCAATCACTTCACACATATGAAACATCAAAAGTAAAGATTTCAAAGTAAGAGAGCCCTTCACCTTCATCATCTGCAAGAGTGCCCTTCACCTTCATCATCTGCAAGAGTGCCCACCTGTTCCTGGGATTTGATAGGCTTAATGCAGATAAGCACTGTGAGTAGAGCAGCATAGCAGAATAACAACTTCGAAAGATTTTGACTTGCTGCCATTTTACTTCACACTCCATGGAGCTCTGTTGCCAGAGTCTGCAGGCTCTTATATATCAGTGAAAATTGTTATTAGCGCTCCAAAAATCTCATTTTACAATTCAAATTTTTTATATTTGGAAAAGAAAAAAAAATAAACTTGTAAAGTGTAGAATGAGATTTTTAGAATGCCAATAACACATCCCTTATCAATACTGAAATGGAGGAATGGTAGATTATTATTCCCCCTAACCTTCCGAATCCAGGCCGACGACCCTCTACTCCATGAATTACTGTCATGTCACGCGCTTATGTGTATAACAATTTGCCTTTTTAGACCTTATTTTTTATTATGTATTTTTATTTAGTTTGGATTTTTTAAATTGAATTTTTATTTTAGAATTCTAATTAGGGAGAGGTATTTTGGAGATACTAAAAGCTTCACCATTTTGAAATTTTTTTATTTTTGCTTTTAAAATTGAAGGTGAGTGGAAGAATGAGAAAGAACGTAGGAGTGGGGAGGGAGAAGAGTTTAATTAAATTTTTTTTTTTTTAAATTAGAGATGTTAAAATTACTTGTAGGTGAGAGTTAAACAAAAAATAACAAAATTTTGTTTTATAAAATTACGTTATTACATTTAACTTTTTTGTTGTGATAGAAAACTAAATAGTATTTTTTTAAAACTAATTAACCTCTTCATCCTATGCAGAGTGCCCTACCTTCCTACCTCTTGTCTTTTCCCCCTCTCTTCGACTCCTACCAGTCCACCACAGTCCCACCCCACCCTATCTCTTCTCCCGAATCCACCACTGCCACCACCTGCACCCAATACGACCAATGCCACCACCATATCTCGCTCTCTCAGTACAATAAAAGATTTCCTAAACTGCATCTAAATCTAGCAACCTGCAACTCATCCCATCATTTTCTATGATATGTGGAAAGGGTGGAATGAATAAGAATCATGGGTTGTTCTAATTTGCTTCCATTAAAGCATTTCTGCATATTTTGAGGGCTCATTTTTTGTAAAATGTTTCCCTCCGAAATGTTTGATTCTTTCCGATTACCATGCTCTAAACTCTAGTCATTCTCCTCTCTAAACCCCTCATCTCTAGTTTAATTGTTGAATTTTACCTCTGGCAGACTCGCGCATCGTTCAATGACTACTCGATTACAGCTCGGGTAGCAATCGTGAAATACGTTGTGTGGTGAGAAGTTTGCGCTAAGAAAAAAGTGGCACTCGCTTGAGCCAAGTGATTGGTATGCTGATTCCTTGTTTTAATCGTTTTCTAGTAGAGATAATAAAGTAACGTGGTGGTGTCTGGAGCCTAATGGTTCAATAGTGGGATGAGTTTAGACCAAATAAATCACAATGTTGGGAGGAAAAGAGAGTTTAGAAGTCTTATGAACATTAATTTTGGTTAGATTAAAAAATTGAAAAAACTAGCTAGGTTATATTTCGAAGGAAACTATATTGGTGGGAAGATGAGCATTTGTGACCGTTTACAAGAGTTAATACCGAAACAGAAAATTTCGGATGTGTGGAGCCAAAAATAATCAAGAGGCGACACGTGGATTTTTAGGTGAATAGGACAAAATTACCCTTGAGACACACCGGGTTTCTTACACGCGAGCAGTGGAGAATTATCCATCAACCAAGTCAAGAGTGCCCAAAATAGGTAACAAGTTCAAATTTATCTCATCCATCTTTACTCCATATCCTCTACAAGGAAATAATTCCATAACCTTCAAAACCTTCCATATAAATTAAATTAATTAGGCTAATTAATGGATTAATTCCAAATTAATCCATTAATCACCAAATTAATCACCATTACACCCTAAAAAACATCCAAGGGCTAGCCACTCTCTTCCAAAGAGGGTCAGCCATGCTCTATAAATAGGACTCCATTTTCTTTGAAAGACTTGTTCCACACTCTTGCAAAACTCCCAAAAAACTCTCCAAACACTTTTTTCTCTAAATTCTAACTTTGGCATTGGAGGTTCTTCGGCCAAAGCCCCCCATTCATCGTGGGCACATGAGGCTCTTGGCCTTGACCTAAGGTGTTAATTGTTTTGTAGGTGCAATTTTGTCCAAGAAGAAGAAGGCGGAAATTTGCATCCACAAATTGGTGCTTTCATTGATAGCTGAGTCCCACACTCGTAGAAGACTCTCGCATTCAAGGTTTTCTATTTTCTTGTCCATATGTAGATTTTTCGTACGTTCTTATTATTAGAATTTTTTATTTGCAAAAATTCTTTGATAAAACGTAAAAGAGAAGTACAATGGCTAGAAATTTAGAAAATTCAACAAATGAAATTTTCAACATTCAAAAAATGGGACCATGGCGATCCACGAGGCTAAATGTGACAATAAGTGGAGTGGCACCACCACCACGAGTTTCCACCACGGGAACCACCATGGTGGCTACCTCGGTAGCCACTCGCGGCGAGGTCCATGGCACTATTACCACTCGAGCCGTGCCATTAAAGCAATCCCAAGCCATGTCACTTCAAGCCCAACGCGATCCCAAGCCGAGCCCTAGCCTCGAACCTACATACGCCGAACAACCCACCCTCGTGGCCCAACCTACTCCCTCTGAGCAGCCCATTCTCGTGGCCCAGCCTACTGCTGTGGCATTCCAAGCAGACCAAATCAGTCCAAGATTAGTTCAACCGTCCCAGCTTCAAATTTATGAGCCTACGATTGAACCGGGGGCATTTTCACCACGTTTCTTGATAGATTTGACATTTCCCAATTCAAATCTCGCGCCCGGAGCCTATCATAATTCCACTGCTCAATGAGGCACATTCATTCCAAGCCCTTCCAATCTAAATGGCGAACAACACTTGTCTCGACAAGTCATAGAGTTGACGATCGCCTTTACACAATAGATAACCTTGGTGAATCAACTCTTGCAACGTACCGAGTTCCAACGTGTCTCGGACGAGATGTCCCAAAGTAGGACAAGGGCAGACGAACCTCTCCACTAGCGTCCCGGCAAGCAGCCCATTAAACAGTCACGATTCGAGCATTTAGGCAGTTTACGCTCCAGTCTGGGTTCTTGGGATAGCACGCGGAGGAGTGTGCATTCCCGATCAAGCCCACGGACGAACATAAGTTCAAGGTTGAGGTCACACTTCGATTATCAACATGGACAACCTTCTAGGCGAAGTGTTCATTCATAACTACGCTCGTTAGGAGTATTTTCCACCTTACATTGGAGTAGGCAGCACGACAGACGGAGAAAAGCAGTCACTCAATTCGACTTAAGTTCAACCGGCAGCCTGCAAGCAGCCCGTTTGCCTGCTAGGGACATGCCCCATGCACTACAGCCGCGACATAGACGAGTCGAGCATAAAAGAGAGCTGCCCAAACCTATAAGTCACGACCGGGTGCAGCCGAAAGTTCCACTGCTCCATCAGAGGCAAATTCAAGAAGAAATTGAGAGGCTTCTAACTGAACGATTGCTCAATTTCCAAGGTAACGAGGCTGCTGATGATGTGATTCGACGAGACATGACCAGCATAATCATGTCACCATTCACGAATGAGATCGAGCAAACAGATCCACCTCGCAGGTTCACTATGCCTCACTTCACTCTGTATAAGGGAAACGAAAATCCAGATCGATATCTTAAGCACTACTGCAGTATCATGATCCTCTACAGGAACAACGACGCGTTTATGTGCAAAATTTTTGCCACAACTCATCAATAGGAGGTGCAAGATTGGTTTCACATTCTACCGCCGCAATCAATATGGAGTTTCAACGAACTTTCCTTTGTTTTCACTAAGGAGTATTCGTCTAACCGCTCAATCAAAAAGGCATCCGACCATCTCTTTAGCATTATAAAAGACCATTGGGAGACAATTCACGACTATGTCAAGAGGTTCAAAGCGGAGAAGGCCAAGATTGTTGGTTGCAACGAGGACATAGCAACGGCAGCATTCAGAAATAGGCTTCCCACCGAACACCATTTATTCAGAAAACTGATCATGGGAAAAGAACTGACCTTAGCAGCTTCATATGCTTTGGCAGAAAAGCATGCACTATGGGACGAGGCCAAGCAGTCCAACAAAACGAGTTAGAAAAGAAGCACATGGAACGTTCCCCAACCAAATAAGACGCGGTGCCTGAAACATTCACCAAGTTCACAGTTCCAATCGGCCAAGTTGGATCATACGAAGTATTGCGCATTTCATTAAGGACCAGGCCACACTACCAACGGTTGCCTGAAGTGGAAGCAGTACCTTGAGAAGCTAACAAATGAGGGTCGATGCAACGAGTATATTGACAGGTCAACGAAACGAGCAGGGGAAGTCTCCGTCACCCTATGAACCATGTTTGGGCTTTTCCAAATAAGTTCGAAGTTTTGAGCAGCTTGACGAACAAGGCTTTGCAAGCTGAATTATCCAGTATGTTATGCAGTTTCTACCTTCCAGCACAGTTGATTTATTTCTTTATTCTCAATGAAGATTTAAAAAGTTAGCCATAAGCCTGGCTCAACTGCTGTCCACAACAACTGCTCAAAACCCTTTTTGGGTCTACTCTCTGGTGCGAGAGGATAAACTAATTGCTCTCCAGTGCGAGAGGGTAAACCAATTCCCTGACACCCGTATGGGTTTGTTATCTAGTGCGAGAGGATAAACTAATTGCTCTCCAGTACGAGAGGGTAAACCAATTCCCCGACACCCGTATGGGTCTGCTCTCCAGTGCGAAAGGATAAACTAATTGCTCTCCAGTACGAGAGGGTAAACCAATTCCCCGACACCCGTATGGGTCTGCTCTCCAGTGCGAGAGGATAAACTAATTGCTCTCCAGTACGAGAGGGTAAACCAATTCCCCGACACCCATATGGGTTTACTCTCCAGTGTAAGAGGGTAAACTAATTGTTCTCCAGTGCGAAAGGGTAAACTAATTGCCTAACACCCATCTGGGTAAGCTCTCCAGTGTGAGAAGGCCACATAGCTTAAAAGATCGAATGCTTGAAGATCAACTAAGCAGCAAATGGTCAGGGGCATCAACCACTTTTGCACTTAATAGTTCACTCATCCGACACTTCATCTTCA